TTTTATTTTTTAAGGATTTATTTATTTATTTATTTTTGTGAGGAAGATCAGCCCTGAACTAACATCCGTGCTAATCCTCCTCTTTTTGCTGAGGAAGACCAGCTCTGAGCTAACATCTATTGCCAATCCTCCTCCTTTTTTTCTCTTTTCCCCCAAAGCCCCAGTAGATAGTTGTATGTCATAGTTGCACATCCTTCTAGTTGCTGTTTGTGGGATGCCACCTCAGCATGGCCAGAGAAGCGGTGCGTCGGTGCGCGCCCGGGATCTGAACCTGGGCTGCCAGTAGCGGGGTGTCCGCATTTAACCACTAAGCCACGGGGCCGGCCCCCAATACACCTATTTTAAATGTACAGTTCAATGAGTTTTGTCTAATGTATACTACTGTAATCACTACCCCAAATCAAGATATAGAGCATTTCTATCATTGCCCTAAATTCCCTTGTGCTTCTATTATGCTATTATACTACTCTATTATATTCTAATATTACTCCTCACATTTTATTGTAATAATTTGTTTAACCCGTCCCTCTCTCCCTAAATTGTGAGCAACCTGAAGACGGAAACTCCATCTTTTTATCTTTACCGCCTAGCAACATAGTGCCTGACACACAGTAGGTGATCAATTAAAAGTTAATCTGAGGGCCGGCCCGGTGGCTTAGCGGTTAAGTGCACGCGCTCCGCTGCTGGCGGCCCGGGTTCGGATCCCGGGCGCGCACCGACGCACCGCTTCTCCGGCCATGCTGAGGCCGCGTCCCACATACAGCAACTAGAAGGATGTGCAGCTATGACATACAACTATCTGCTGGGGCTTTGGGGGAAAAAATAAAATAAATAAAATCTTTAAAAAAAAAAAAAAGTTAATCTGAGTTCTTACTATGCATCAACTACTGCTTTAAGCTCTTTACTACGTATTTTTTACAACCATATGGGTCAGGTACTATTATTATCCCAATTTTCAGATGAGGAAACTGAGGTACAGGAAGGTAGACACCTATCCAAGGTCACAGAGTTCATTACTAAACTTCCCTTGTCAATGAGAGTGCAGATATTCTTCTCTCTACAGCTTTCCCTATTGCTCTTCTACTTAGTCAACTGAAGAAATCCTCATCTCTTCTTTCACTACTGATGTACCAAATTACTTCTGCTATCCAAACTGTCACTACGTCTCCTTTTCTCCCACTCACCAAGCATATATTGAATGCCTTACCAATCCAGGTAGGTATCTAATCTCAAAGAAACTGGGTGGAAGACATTAACACATGAACAACTGAAAAAACACAGGGTGGAATACGTTAACTTTCATAGGTGAACGACTACAAAGCACTGCTAAAGCAGTTCTTTCTTGAAGTTGTTTCCCCTAGGTTTAATTTTTCCTTTTCATCCCTAAAGAAGTCATCATTTCATAACCAAATTATTATAAATGCCTTCTACTTACCTTGAAGGAGTCTCTTTCCCATCCAGAATGGTCTATGTTCCCCTGCCAGGCTGCATCATTGCTCATTCCATATGCAACTATTCTATTTAAAGATCTGTATGTAATTCCCTGCTCAGCTTTCAAGGCCTTCTACATGCTGCTCCCAATAACCTCTTCAATCCCATCTCCCACACTTGTGAGATAAGACCTCCACTATTCCAGCCAGGATAAAGAATCTTCCTTGAGTACCATTCTAATTTGTCTTGCTGTGCCTTTATACTTTGCCTAATATATTGAAATTTACCGATTTTTAATATAATGCCCTTAGTCCCAACAACTCTGAGAGGTGAAGGGTAGATGGGGGAGAAAAAAGAGATGAAGGTCTCTTTAAAAGATCTTGAGATGGGGAAGTAGTTTGAGCTGAGGCTCTGTATCACTCTCGATTACAGCAGGCTCTGGGAAAGGCCCATTTGGCAGATCTTCTGGCCAGGAGCCACAGAATCACCAAATTCAGGCTTGTTCTCAAGGCACATACCACTGCACTACACTTGCTAGGTGTGGGAACAGCTAAGTGGTGGTGGCCAAATGAGCTACAAAGGAGCTACAGCAGCCAGGATGAGGCTAGCTTTGGTGCAAAACTGCATATGCAGACACCAAAAGCTACAATCTTATTTTATATGATTAAGAAAGCATTGTTAGTTTTTTTTTTTAGGTGTGATAGTGGTATTGAGGTATTTGTTTAAAAGATAAAAAGATTAGAAAAAGAAGAACAAATGAAGCCCAAAATCAGTAGAAGGAAGGAAATAATAAAAATCAGAGTGGAAATAAATAAAATAGAGACTAAAAAGACAATAGAAAGATCAATGAAACTGAGAGCTGGTTCTTTGTAAAGATAAACAAAATTGACAAACCTTTAGCTAGACTCACTAAGAAAAAAAGAAAGAAGGCTCAAATAAACAAAATCAGAAACGAAAAAGGAAAAATTACAATGAATACCACAGAAATACAAAGGTATACAAAGTGATATACAAAGAGATATACACTGAAATATTTACAGATAATTACAACTGAAATAATTACAGATGAAATTATATCATAATGACTTGCTTCAAAATAATCTGGGGGGCCAGCCTGGTGGCATAGTGGTTAAGTTCGTGTACTCCACTTCAGTGGCCCAGGATTCGCGGGTTTGGATCCCGGGCTCGGACCTACACACTGCTCATCAAGTCATGCTGTGGCAGCATCCCATATGCAAAATAGAGGAAGACTGATACAGATGTTAGCTCAGGGACCATCTTCCTCAAGCAAAAAGAGGAAGATTGGCAACAGATGTTAGCTCAGGGCCAATCTTCCTCACCAAAAATAAAAATAAAATAAAATAAAATAATCTGGGGTTACAATGGGGAGGTGGGTGGTGGCATATATAAAAACAAGATTGGCCATGAATTGATAATTGTTGCAGCTGTGTGATGGATACATGGGAGTTCATTATATTACTTTCTCTACTTTTATATTTGTGTGAAATTTTCCATAGTAAATAGTTAAAAAAAAAATATCATGATCTCTAATACTATTGCATCCCTTCCCAGCCCATCAAGACCAGGGCCTATTTCACAGGGCTTCATTTTCATTTGGGAGTAAAAAATAAGCCTTTTAATGGCCAAGAGTTAACTTCATTTTTGGAATACAGATAGCCCAGACTGGTAACTGGAAAACAGGTCCTGGATCACTTTCTAATCTTGGCAGCAAGTTTCCTTGCTATCTAAAAAGCAAGGTCTCCACAATCCACTGTGGAACTTAGGTTCTAAGTTCCATGAGGGCAGGATCCACGTCTACTTGTTCACCATTGATCCCACAGTTGATCTAGCACAATGCCTGCCTCATAACAAGTGCTTAATAAGTACTCATTAATTGAATAAAAAAATAGAATAATAAGTCAGGGAGGAGCAGGGCAACAGTGTCCTGGAGAAGGAAAATAAAGAAACACTTGGTGAGGGCCGGCTCTGTGGCTTAGCGGTTAAGTGCGCGCGCTCTGATGCTGGCGACCCGGGGTTCGGATCCCGGGAGCGCCCCGAGGCACCACTTCTCCGTCCAACGCGAGGCCGAGTCCC